CTCTCTCTCTCTCTCTCTCTCTCTCTCTCTCTCTCTCTCTCTCTCTCTCTCTCTCTCTCTCTCTCTCTCTCTCTCTCTCTCTCTCTCTCTCTCTCTCTCTCTCTCTCTCTCTCTCTCTCTCTCTCTCTCTCTCTCTCTCTCTCTCTCTCTCTCTCTCTCTCTCTCTCTCTCTCTCTCTCTCTCTCTCTCTCTCTCTCTCTCTCTCTCTCTCTCTCTCTCTCTCTCTCTCTCTCTCTCTCTCTCTCTCACTCTCGTTCTCTTTTCGAATTCGGTCGATCTGTGGCGCCGTGCCGGCTTCTTCACCGGTCACTCTGCTGTCGTTCCTCAGCAAAAGAATCGAGAAGAGCTGCGAAAGTTCTTGAACTCGACGTAAGACTCGTGTTGAACACGAGCTGGAATAAGGGAGCAGTGATTTGTGGCTTGAGCTTCCAGAAGTTTCAAATAAACACTTGACATGATTGCTTGAGAGAAGGATGTTCACATCGATTGAGAGAAGGATGTTCACATCGATTGAGAGAAGGATGTTCACATTGATTGAGAGAAGGATGTTCACATTGATTGAGAGAAGGATGTTCACATTGATTGAGAGAAGGATGTTCACATTGATTGAGAGAAGGATGTTCACATTGAATCTGAATCATCTGTCGATCATCCTGGGGTTGAGATGCATCCAGGTCTCGATAGGCACAACCCCTACTGCTTCTTGACCCCACCCCTATAACGGACCTACTATCATACCACCCCTCCTCTTTCGCACCGGTAGCAGCTCGAAATCTCTGTGCTGACAGCTGCATGGAAGGGCTCAAGGCGGGAAGTATGGCTGAAGCAAGACGAACGCTGGTGAGGTCACGCATGAGCTCGAAACGAGACGCCGAGAGCGACTTGAAGACTAGATGAGAACAGGGTCTTCGACAAGCAGCGGCAATTAGAATGCACTGGCTTAAATGTTTAGAGTATAGAATGACATGAAAGCCTGATCACAAGTTTGAACAAGTGATGGACTAGTAGAAAAGTATTATGTTTGTTATATACGAAAACATCAGAAAATGGACAAGGATTCCAGTTCTTACTTTATCTGTTTGCTCAGATCTGCGAATGTTGTGGCTTTTCTATTTCAGTTCTGGCGGAAAGTAAAAAGGATGGCGTCAAACTTTCAGAGAGATTTGAAAACAGATGTCCAGTCATGCTCTTTTCGCAGGTAAAGAGATATGCCCACATATATCTCATCTTTTCAGGTGTTTCAGTTTGTCTTATGCTAACGTTGGCAACTCTCAGATGTTGGGGCTTGGAGCTGGCTTAGTTTCACGACGAGACGCCTATAAGTTTCTGCAACAAAGAGATTGGGATTCTGAATCCATCATCAAAATCTTGGATGCTATTTCTGTAGATGAGGAGCAAAACGTGAGGAAGGAAGATCTGATTCGCTCAGCTGTTGCGATCATGTGCAAAGATGGCTCTCGTCGAACCCTTTCTGACGCCATTGCCATTTCCTCTTGTTCCTGCGAGTGTACACTACAATTTCAAGGCACACTGATTCCGACTGCTAGTGCCCCTAAGATGGACATGTGGCATCAGCAAGTATGTTGCCATCTAGGTCTCAAAGGATTCGTTCGTCTGTGCTACACTGGCATCATCTTAGACGTCGGTCTGGTGCTGCAGGGGAATGAGGATGACCTGGTAGCCTACATTGATGGTTTGCTTGCTCCCAACATCACCGGGAACGGAGAGTCCCTCATCATACCATTCAGACGGCTCGGCCCTGAAGAAACTCGTCTAAGCGAATTGATGATCGTGACCCATGCTGACAAGGAGGAGATGTTGGATCAACATGCTTCTGACATGGCAGCCATAGATCAATTCACTTCAGCATGCAAGCTCAACGATGAAGTACATTCCTATAACTCCAACATTCACATGGAGCCACAAGCTCACGAGCTGGGCGCTGGGACGCATGATTCAGAGAAGGTATACAAGCAAGATGACGAAACGTTGGAGCTTTGCTTTGAAACCCCAGCCAAAGAATTCATACAAGTGAGGACTACAGGACATGCGACCCCAAAAGGAACTACTGCCGTTTGTTTGTTTGATTATTCAGCAAACGAACGTGATGAACTAAGCATTAAATGTGGAGAGGTCTTGCAAGTCAAAGCCAGGCATGCAGACGGTTGGTACCTGGTTCAAAACCTTGAGGGAGGGTTTGGCGTGGTTCCAGGTAATTATTTAAGAATCATGGAAGTGAGAATGCACGAACATGAGGATACTGAACGAGGTCACGTCTCAAGAGATGCTGTTGAAGGTGCCGAGGAGGCGGATTTGTGCCTAAGGCAAGGCATTGAAACTGTCAGCCTCCTTGAAGAGCAGCTGAGTTTAGTAGCAAACACTTTGCAATCGTCTTGGCTATCAAATCATGGAAGTGTCTTAAAGAATCATATGTACAGTTGTCGTAGAGGACTCTCGGCTGCAAAATATTCTTTACGTGAAATGTATTCAATACTGCAGGCAGAGAAGAAGATGAAGTCCGACAGCTTGAGCTATTCCCAACGTCCGAGAAACTCAAGTCAGATGGAGCGCTCGCTATCCGAGGATCGAAGGGCAGGAGGCAGAATGGAGGAGTCGTTCCAAGAAGAATCTTCGTCCTCTGATGAGTCTGGTTGGATAAGAAGGTGACAGAGACCCTTTTGAGTGATTGAACGCAAGGATGACGTTTATGGCTTGTCGTCAGGTTAGAGCAAGCCTCTGTGAACAAGCATTCTCCTCAAAGAAATCAACCAAACGGCTTCCTTGCCAGCACGCGCCCCAAGGGTCCCTAAACATTCTCATAGCTTAAAATTTCCGACATGCAACTAATGAAAGACAAGCGATCTCACTTTGGTTGTGTCATTTGCCTTAGCGGAATCCCAAAGTCTTGATGGATCTCCTGAGGTTCACGTCGTCGTACAAAGAAAGGAGGCTCATGTTGTGAGCACAGGTGTTTCAGTCTGATCTGCTTGTTTTTTTGAGCAGGAACATGGATTTGGCCATGTTGTAGAATTCAAGACCTGAAATTTCCTTATTTACTAAGATGACAACATAGAGATTCAGTTGCAGACTACAAAGCGGAAAAGTGCATAATCAAATTCAAAGAAAATTTTCAGTTTTCTCTCTACTGTCCTGACAATTCACCCCAACTGTGATAAAAATCCAAAGAGTTTCAAAGAATGATGCAGACTTTTTGAGATATTCAACTTTTCAATTTTCATATTAGACGATACTGATATGGTGATTTGAAATGCTGAAGCAAGGAAAGAGTCGGGAACCTTTTGGCATAATCTGAATGCAGGCGGACCAAGGTCATGAGATCACATGTCGAGGTAAGGATTGTGTAGCTCGAGGCTATATATGTTTTGAGGATCCTCGCCCACAACTCGAAGGAAACCTGCCATCTTCAACACCAGGCTCAGAGCAAACCACATGAAGATCAGCATACTGATTGCGAGAAACCAAACTTCCTTTCTCTCTGCAAGTCTCGGCGGAAAAATTCTCTAGGAGCCAAGTAAAGTAAGAAAGGAGCGGATTGAGGGAGTTGCTTTGACCTGTTCATCGCCAGGAACTGAATCACCGCATCATACGGACACGGGCCCCAGTTGGGATGAACAGCAAACTCATGGCCGTCCTAGAAGAGCGTGAGGCAAAGAGCTCAAGCGTAAAGACAGCACAAGAGACTCTCTGCTCACTTACAAGGTTGGTGTCCTCAACCACCACGTAGTCTCCTCTCCTCAGCACCTGCGAGATCATCTGCCACGTCGATCACACCGTCATACTTCTCTGAGCGCTGACAACCTGCAGCTCGAGGGTCACGTTGTCGGCACCTTGGCAAAGGTCAAGTGGCAAACAATCGCACTTGAAATCACCAACCATGATCACCATCCAGAATGACGAAGAGTGACCCGGGCAGCTCATCTCTCAGCTCCTACAGCTCTCCTTCAGCTCCCGATGTCTCTACCTCGTCTCACCTTCAAACGTCTCTGCACGCGTAGCGAAGCCGATGGTGCCGTCAGAATCTCCACGCGAGGCTCCCGGTTCAACTGCCAAGGGTGAGAGAGGACAAGGTTGGCGTGACGAACGCACTTGTGAGTTGATCGAGTCGTGGTCGATGTCAACGGTCAATATCTTGTATGCAGATGTTTGATGTACTGCTTTCATGACATCTGAGAAAAACAGCGTGGAGCCTCCAAAACGTGTTCCGACTTCAAGAACAACCTTCGAACTTCGTCAAGACGGCAAGACAGCAGAAAGGTGTCTAGCACCGAGGGTTTGATCTCGTGTATGATCTCTTGGTAGTTCCACATGTCTGTCGGCGCTTTATGAGATACAACACCCCGCCAGTATGTGTTTGACCACACGCCACTGTGATACCACCACTGGTGATACCCCTCCACACTCTCGGGGTACTGGTACTTCCCGTCTTCTGACAGCCAGTCAGGCATCGTGTCCTTGACGACGAGCCTGAACGTTTCGTTGTAGACAAGTGACGAGGCTGTCGGCAAGAAGGTGGCAAACAGCTGGAGCGAGTGCTCGCCGATGCCTGGGTCGTCAATGAAGATGTCGCTATCGCACGCGATGGTCTGCGACAGCCCGTCGACATGGATGTCAAAGCATTCCCTCCTGCTCTTGTCCAATCGGATCCACAGAGGGACGTCCGGGACCCACCTGAGCTCCTCTCCCTTCTCCGGCTTCACCACCAGACTAGAGGCGCCATGCAGCACCACCAGCACCACAAGCCATTTCATTGCATGCCTTTATTGCTAGTTTATCGTAGATCTAATGTAAATCCTTGATTCTATTGATGATTTTATAGGCAATCAACAACCGAAGAGTCGCCGAGCACAGGAGGTGCGAGAGGGGAGGAGAAGGTGAGAGGGCTTGCGCTCTGATCAGACTTGTAACATCTAACACCACACATCTCATGTCTGACATCTCGCATGTCACATCTAAATACCAGCATCTGACTTCCAACATATGACTTCTGACTTCTGACTTCAATGTCTTACATCCGACTTCCAACATCTGACTTGTGACGTCTGTACTCTGATATCCGACATCTGACTTCTTACTTCTCATATCCGACATCTGACTTCTGACTTCTCATATCCGACATCTGACATCTGACATCTGACATCTGGCATCTGGCATCTGGAATGTGACGACGTTTGCTTGTTGTAGGACTCGCTCAACCTGAGATCATGCTGAATCTCGCACGAGGAGTCTTCACCAAACTTGTGTTTCTCGACGCCATCGGCAGTGATCCATCGCAGCCAAGGAAAATTCCAGGTGATTCCATTCCATCATAGCACAAGTTGTTTCCACACAAGGATATTAAGATCTTTTCTGTCTCTGTTTACGCTTGTTGAGGCTACGGCCCTCGTGTATTCTTGCTCATTGTGCATGCTCTCTCCTAACAGCGAGTATCTCAACGTTGCTTGTGACAGAGCCGTACTCCATGCATACCGGCTTCAATCCGAGCACAAGTGGATACATTCAGCAGCATCAGGAGGATTGTGGACCCCTGCACAACGACTGTGACGGTGGCTCCTACATGAACGAGGACTATAATCAACCCGGTTGGTATTAAAATCTGAGAGAGAATGTTGAATGTTGTTTCACGTTGAGGAACGGTAATCGGAGCGAGCAGAAGCAGCTTCAAGTCAGCAGGCAGGGATGTCAGCATGGATGTTCAACACTCTACATGGATTGAAGGGTCGTTTACTAGCCCTTCTTGAAGGAGAGCTGCACTGTTCTCCAGTTAACTTGACCTGCAAGGTATTTTCTTGAGGGCTCAGGGCAGCATTCTACCAAGTTGCAAGTTGAGATCCGATGGATGCACTGACATCGCAGGATCTCGTAATTCATTCATGATTTGATGGCTCCTGCTCTAACTCCTCGACGAGTTGGAAACGACTGAGCTTGCACGGCTGTTCCGCGAGTCCTCCTGGACAAGGGCAATCACTTGAGCATGCACAGCATTCCAGGTACCTGCGGGGAGTTGGAGATGTTGATGGATTCTTGTTCATCGAGACTGCATCTCGCGATGCTGCTGGTTGAAATCTCAATGGCTGGAGAACCCAGCAGGATCGTCGACTGGTCCTTTCCTGCGTCCACTTGTCATGTGAGTTGGCTACACCTCGCCTCACCATTATCCTCGCTCGCTGTCCATTCGCTTGCCATGGCTCGTTCCACCTTGACCGTCTTGCCCGATGCCAGCAAGTGCTCGGTAGAGAAACCAGCCCCAGGGAGATACTCAGCCCCAACCTGCATCTCGAGCGTCGAGCCGACTTCTCCTTTTGTGAGCCCTGCCAAGTCCGAGGGGGGGAGTTTGCGAACTTTGCGGTCGGCAATGGCGACGAGGAGGTCACCCTTGCGGATGTCCGGCCGCTCGTCCGCTGGTCCTCCTTGCACCACGTTGGTAATCACCATTTGCCCGTCCACCCGATTCTCAAACTCAATGCCCAGCCATCCTGGAGCTTTCTTGCCCAGCTTGTCTTGCTTCCCTTCAACGTTGGAAGGCTTCCAGTTTGGTACGTTTTGTCTGATCCTGAAATCATTCTGTCAGTCTTCAAGCACAAGAGCCTTCGTGGTGCGCGACAAGCAATTACTTACAATTTCAAATTCCAAGGGAAGATGTACTTCTTGTCATCCATCTTGCCTCCGTGCAAGTGTTCTGATGGCGCACGTCAAGCGAGTGACCCCCGTTGAGACTCACCTGTCAACATGTCGATGTCGATGACTTCCTTCGGTCGGGGCCCCGACAGCTTGTGTGCCATGCGCGGCTTGATGACTTGAGGCGAAGGAGCGTCAGGAATCTGTTGGGTTGGGACGTTGCAAGCTGATGGGAGGGGAATGGTGGAGTGCGACGACGATCTCTTACTCTTCCGATGATGCCGATGACATTCATCGCACAGAAGCAACCCACACTCGACACACTCAAACGAAGCTTCCAGCCCTTCCGTACACTCATTGCACTTCATCCTGCTTTGCTCTCAAGACTTGTTGCAGCAAGTCGGAGTCGCTGAGTATCACTTGCACCGGCCTGCCTTCAGTACGAGCTTGCCTTCATCCCTACTGCGACATGCAGGGCACCTCCAGCAACAATCGCAACGGAGGAAACGCGAGTGAAGCAAGTCGCGATGCGTCAAGACGGTGAGGAGGTTGAGTGAGGGAACAGCCAATCAGAATGGGAGGAAGGACTAGCCGATGAAGGAGGTTGAGGCAGCGGGAGAGAAGTGACTGCAAAGAATTTGTGACAGATGGCAAACAAGAGCGACCGGCAAGAGGTTTGCGGGGAGAAGAAGAGAGGTTGAAGAGGTCAGGGTGCGTACAAGGGAGACGGGGACAAGAGGGGAGGGACAGGGGGGGAGGGACAAGGGAGGAAGCGGGGGCGGGGGACGGGGCGAGAGTGAGGACGAGGGCGAGGGCGAGGCGAAGGGGACGGGCGAATGAGGGATAGGATGGCACCCCGGGGTTGTGCAATGAGGGAAACAGGGGGTGGTAAGGGGAGGAAGTAAGGGTGGGTTCAACACTACAGTAGCAACCGGAGTGGCTGTCCCTTGCAGCTCCTGATGGGCGGGGAGTGAGACGATCAACGCCATGGCGCCTCAAACCGTGACCTGCCGCACCCTGACGTGACCTGCCGCACCCTGACGTGACCTGCCGCACCCTGACGTGACCTGCCGCACCCTGACGTGACCTGCCGCACCCTGACGTGACCTGCCGCACCCTGACGTGACATACCTGACGAGGAAAGCCCCTCGCTTGTGTCATTCAGCAATCTGTCGTTTGAGTTTGAGGGTGATAAGAGGAGAGATGATTGTATCTGCAATGAGATCCAATGAACCATGCATGCCCCTGCCAGCAAGCTGCAAGCAAGAGCCTCTCTTGTCTTCGCGTACTCATTCCTGTTCCCGATTCATTCGCTCACCCTCGCCTGTCCTCGGGGAGTAGGAAAGCAACAGAGGTGTCCTCAACTTCATTTCCGCCTCATTCCGCATCCCTGCCTTTACCTCGTTTCTCATCCCATCCTCCTCTTCTCTTCCCTTCCACCTCTTGTCAGTCTCTCTGCCTTTCTTGATCCTGATCTCGCTCTATCTAATCTCCTAGAGGTTCGCGGGGTCTGCTGGACTCGATAAAGAGGGCTCCCGTCTTCTTGTCAGGCCTTGTTTCTGCTCAGCGTCTGCTCGCCACCATCAGTCAGTAGCCTCTGCCTGTCTCTGCTGCGGCCGAAGGTTGACGAGAGCGAGTCCATCCGATCAGGCCTCTCGCAGCCCTTGTCAGGTTATTACCCTCCGTCCCTTCAATACATCCGTGAAAGCTCTCAGGTTGCTCCTCATCTCGCGTCTCAGTCGAAGGGTTTGACTTGTCATCTTTCGTGACAATGAGTATGGAGGATTGACATTTCTTAGCATGAAATCTTGTGCCTCTGCCTCTGCCTCTGCCTCTGCCTCTGCCTCTGCCTCTGCCTCTGCCTCTGCCTCTGCCTCTGCCTCTGCCTCTGCCTGTTTAGCTCGCCGGCCGCGAGAGAGCCTGAAAGCACAAGTGACGAAGCTTGGCATTGAGGACAAGGATGATGAAGACAAGACAACAAAGGCCGGGTTATTGCCCGGAAGATGTTTCCCCATACGAATCGTCAGACGGTGCAGTTCGTTGGTCAGATATACAAATCCCAGTTTGCATCTGCCTGCTTGGATGAGCTTAAACATTTGCTAGTTTTCTCGCAGCCAGCAAGCAAGCAGATCAAGGCAAGAAGTAATAGCAGAGCGATTCAGCAGGCGATCGCCAAGCAAATCGGGTATGCATCAATCACTTGAATTGCAAGTCTGGAACCTATAAGAGCATTCGAGTGTGATAGAACCAAATGTGCTATTCACTCCAACGCAGGTTGACAACACCATGAAATGTAAGTTAATCGCTCACTATCAACAAGCCATGGCCAGGAACTCTCCTTCAGCTTCTCGTTCTCACACTTTATTTCAAATCCGATCATTCCTCCTGATGGGAACAGCCTGAAGAAAAATCAGCAGATCGTCTTTTCAACCCAAGTTACACTGCAATGTTACTGACCTCATCCCACGGGCCATTGATCTTGTTCTTGTATCTCTGAATGTACAGAAAAGTGAGTGGACATATCCAGGTTATAAAGAAAACGAAGAATCCAAAGATTGTGCCTAGCAGCTGTATTGAAAGGAATCAGCGGCAGCGAGGTACCTTGCAGGCCGTACCGGACTGATGTGGAAGAGCAGGGCTAATGAGATCAACACGAGACAAGAGGTGACAATGCCGTGAGCGACTTCGGAAGAAAGCTTCACCTATCCTCGGGTCAGTTTCAGCTCGGCTGTAAGTTTCAGCTCGGCTCAAGTTCAGACCTGCCGATACACTCTTGGCGCGAGTGCAAAGACTTCGACGGCACAGCACATAAGGAGGGCGACGTGGAGGTTGGAGGAAGCTCGTGAAGCGAGGATGACCGAAACGAACATGGCAGCATTCAGCGAGACCTGCATGTCTCCTCAACCCACACTGATACTCCTCCAAATGATGTTCGCACGCTGCCGCCAAACGCTGACGACCGTCCGTTGACCCATCGGTAGTCGTGGCACAACAAGTTGACCTGCACGTGACTTGGTCAGCAGGCACTGATGCTGATAGAAGGGAACCGAGAGGAAGGTTATGGCCATGACCGCGACAGTGTCATCGCTGATCGTCAGAGTCAAGGTCCTCAAGATTGGGGACTGCCAAAACTTTACACGTTGTGAACTCGGGGTCCGAAAAGAAGATACCAAGATGCATAACGCAACAATGAACAAAAAGGTCGCTCTGCCATAGAGCGGAACAAGCAGGATGATGTTGTCCCAAGTCAGTCCTCCTTGAAGCTGATCAAAGCATCAAATATTGTGACAACAACCATGAGACACCAACATGGAACAGCATAGAGGCAGGAAACGACAAATCACGTAATTCGGTCTTGCCGTTGTGAGACAACCATGCAAGGAGCATTGCCATGCAACCTGCTGCTCCTGAAGGAAGAATTTCACGTTCTAGCAGCTGCAAAAGAAGAAGCACCTAGGACTATATCAAGAGCAAGCATGTAGGAAAGATCCAGAGATCGATAGTTGGTGAGGTAGGCGATCCCAAGGAAGAGTACAGTCCCTTCACAAACGTCACTTGGATCGTTGTGTGTTTCGAAAGCTCTCATCGCAAGCACCTGCCAGGTGCTGTGACACAACTACACTGTCCTTGGTGATCTGCAACGAAGATGAGAGATGCAGCGGATGCATCCAAGTGACTCACTTGCCACGCGTCATACGCATGGAAATTTGCGTTGGTGACTGAAAGTATGAGAGTCAGCTTGAGCTTGGCAGGCAGCAAAGAAGGAGATGAGGCGGGCTCATCATGATCGTGACAGGAAACGATCCATGCGAGCTCACCGAGCGACTCGAGGAAGGTTCTGTCCACGTAGTTGTCTTCGTATGGCTTCATCGCATGTCACGACTACACGAGCCGACGCAAGCACCAACCTGCTTCTTCCATAGAACTCTTTCCCATGGTGGCAGAAGCAGTTTCGCCAGCACCTACACTGCATCAGTAACCATAGGACCAGCGAAGAACACGTGCGTTATGGTTGGCCCCGGCATAACCCGCTCTTGATCTTGTAGATCCACATATAGAGCAGATATTGTCCAGGGGATGATATTCAAACCCGTCCCATGGACAGAATCTGGATCTCGGGTATGAGTGCAGGATGAAGGACAAAGATGACAAGGGTCACCTGTGTTGGAGAAGCATTCCTGATCGTTCTCTCTTAACCACAAACTCTGTGTTTGCATCCAAATGAATGTTACGGGTCTTCCTCTTTGGCGAAGCCTCGATCGTCATGTGAAGGCTATCATTGGAGGCTGCTGGAGAGGATTTTTCACTCTCATCGGCAAGGGCTTCTGCATTCTTCACACTTGATGTCTTGTAAGACTGATCATGCGGAATATTCCAGAAGTCTTCACTTTGACTCCACCAGGTTCTTTCTTGTGCACTAGCAAATCTCATCGACATCTCACCTCAAAATACAAGTTGTGAAATCGGATCCATGAAACACACGATCTGTAAGCAAACTCAAACAGTAAGTTTGTATGCCTGGCTGACAACGCGTCATGCTCATCTCATCAAGTTAAGTTTCATGCCAAGTAGTTCAACTTGAAAGAAGAAATGTTTACCGAATCTCACAAAGCTAATGATAGCAGAGAGATCAAACAGCCGATGTGGGTCAAAATTGATCTACCTGACCTCCTTGTCATCCTTGGCCTCCTCCCTCCTCTACCTTCCCCAGACCTCGCTTCTGAGAGAGACTTTCTGAGAGACTTTCCCTGCTTCAGCCCTCTCATCCCCTGTCTTGTCGCTTCTCGCTTCTCTCTCTCTCTGGCATTCAGGCCTTCACTTTAAAAGTTAATAATTATTATTGAACTAAAAGTTTGGACCGACGGTCCGGGCCGCCCCCGGGCCGCCGGGCCCGGCCCATGGGGGCCCGGCGCCCAGTCCCCGGCCCGGCGTCTCAGTTAGTGACTCGCTCGGTGACAACCGTTGAACCGTGCCCGTTGAACAGTCACGAGCCTGACGGTGCTGAGCCCGAGTCCGACTCGCCGCCGACGGTACTTGCCGCCGCCGATCGGACCGTACTGTACTACGGCCCAGCCTGGCAGTACGGTACCGTACGGTAACGCCGATGACTGAACTTCGGAACGTACCGTACGGTACGGTAGTAGTGACCATAACGCTATGTGGCTTGCCGCTCATCCTCCAGGCTCTCCGAGGCTCAGGGCAGCCGCGGCCTGCACCGCGGCAGAGCCGGTCACAACTTGCCGCCGGGTCCGCCCGGCCGCCGATGATCCGATCGGACCCGGTTCAACGGCGTGGCCGGTCCGCTCGCCGTGCCACGGCCCTGTGCGGCGCGGCAGTGACGGTGCGGCGGCCCGGCCGTCCGCCGGATCATCGGATCCCGGCTGCGGCAGCTGAGCCGTACTGTACTAGGCTAGCCGCTCCGAGGCTCGCAGTACTACATACTCCAGGCTCCGACGGTCACCGATTACTGTCCGATCAGATCACTGAGGCGGCCTGTCACTGACAGTGAGCCGCTCACGCCGCCGGGCCCCGGCCGCGGCGGCGCCGCCGGGCCGGGCCGGGTCCCCTCCGCGCCCGATTAGGGTACCCCCAAGACTGTGACCCCTGTTCTCGTATGCATCATTCAGGGGGTGGGTATTCTCAAAGAGAACCCCTACTGGATCATACCAGGGGGCAGCAGGGGTGGGCTTTCTCTACTATTTCGGGCAGCGGTAGGCCATGGCAAGTAAGGTAAGATGGCTATGGGAGACGACGAGGGATAAAGAGCGGGCAAACTTTGATGAGAGGGGAAGGATGAGATGGAGGGAATGGAGGTCCTGTCTTCGCAATGATGTTGCAGTCATATTTTCCTTGTTCTATCATGAGGTCGTGAAGAAAGTACAGAAATTGCCCTACTGTGCATGGATGAGAACAAATAGCAAGAGGACATTAGGAAGCAGGTACTTCTGGGGCTTGACCAGTGTTTGTAGTGAGTAGATCCCGTTCTAAGTTTTGACTTGGAAGGAGGCTGAGGCTATGCGACTGATGCTGTCGAGCGGCAACTATCTATAAACGTTGACAACTGGATTTCAGATGTCGGGACGGCATCAGTTCGCCTCCTTGCTTTGCATCTGCATCGCCGCCTATTTCTTGTTTACGGACTCACCAACAATAAGACATGTTGATCAAAAGTTGTCGTTGAGCGAGAAAGAGGTTTTGGCCTCCCAGCAGCTCACCAACGGCGCAACAGTGGGTCTCCTTCCATTGCTTTTCCTCTTGCTGAATTCAGCCCAGCCAAAATCAAACGTCTCCATGGATCTAAATGTTGATTATGGCAACCAATCCCCTGAGGAGGAGGAGTATCTGAAAGATAAAGTATTGTTACTTTCTGCTTCATCTACGAAAACAATGTCTGTGCTGAATGTGACGCTGACATGTCAACCAGGTGAAGTTTTCGGAGGAGCATCCTGATGAGGCTGTGCGGATTCACTTGAAGAGGAAGGCGATGAGACAAGCAGCTTTAAGAAAAGAGTACGAAGAGAAAAAAGGTCGTCTTGCACTTGTGAGGAAAGAGATGTGACGATTATGCCAGCTGAATTGCTTGCAAGATTGTCTGAGACGAATCGAGCAAGAAACGTTGTGATTGCTATTCTGACCATCATTGTCTTGGTCACTGTCCTCATCGACTTTACGGCACACAAAATTCATGCAATGAGCTCGCATTTTTCGAAGCCAGTGATCGAAACTCTGTTCAAAGAGCTGACGGTGAGCTCCGCTTTTCGACCTCATGCGTTCATTGTTTCACTCCAGGTGTTGGGCTGTATAGCCTTGCTCGTCTTCATGTCTGTCAAGACGGGGTTACCCCAGCAGATATCCACAGCGGCAAGTTTGGTCATCGCGATGTGATCGAAGTGAATTGATTATACTTCAGATTTTTGGCACTCCCTCGGAACTCGTTGAGATGTTTGACATGGCCCATATCCTCTTGTTTCTCATAGTGGTGCTGTTTGTCACGTTGGTTGGATGCACGTTGTGGAGATTCAAAAGATATTGTGATGAGTGGGAAAAGTTCGAATTGTTTGCCATTCAAAATGCAAAGACAGGTCAGCAGTCATGAAGTTGATGATCATCTAAAATTCTTTGCAGAGAAGAGCATCTCAGAATTGTTCACTTCACCAGAGTTCGAAGGGGTTTCGAGAGAAGTGAAGTGCTACGTGAGTCGATGTGACATTGCGTGAAGGCGGTGATGTTGGGTGCAGTGTGTGATGAGGCACAGCTTCTTGAATCCCCCCCTCAAAATTTCCCACAAGGCTCTCGACTCTTCTTTCCGTTTCTCCCAATACCTCAAAGAATGCACGACAGAAACCTTCAATGAGATGGTGCAAGTGGAGCCGGAGACCTGGGGCATCATCTTGCTCCTCATCGTGTTAGCTCGCTTCTTCATGATGATCCCCCACGAAGACGTAAAGATCGCAGTTTTCTTGCTTCTCGGCATCCTTTTGCTCGCAATCATGATCATCATGAGGAACAAGCTCTTGGACATCTATATGATGTTAGTCCGATATGACGGTCATATTGCAGAAGGAACAATGGTTCCCTTTTACATCTCTCGAGCGCGCGAAGACGACAGGCAGAGCTTGACCACGGCAGAGGAGAAGGGCTGGTTCTACAAGCTATGCAATGGAACAAGAAACCCGAATCCTCAAGAGCGGCTGTTTTGGTTTGGCATCTCAGGGCCTCATGTGATGATGCACATCATCCGTACCTGCTCCTTTCTTGGTTCTGTCTACTTCTCTCTCTTCGTCTTTCGGTTCGGCGAGGACCTGGTGACCCGAGCAGCTCATACTGTCACTCTGCTCATCATGGCCATCTTGTGTCCGTCGATCATGATGTACTACTACCTCCCGCAGGTCATGAAGCTCTACGTGCTTGTCACTAGCATCGAGATGATGAGAAGGAGAAAGACCGTTCACACAGTCGAGATGGAGATCAAGGCGAGGAGAAAATTCTTCGTTACTCGCCTGCTCCATACCCTTCGAGGATATGCTCGTCGCATTCTAAAGCTCGAGAAGCTCTCGAGGGACGCGGAGACGTCTCACCTCTCGGAGATCAAGGACGTGTTTGAGATGTGAGACCTCAAGGTTTCGTCGTCGCGACCTCACCCGTGGCAGGTTCGAGCGTGAGTGTCGAGAACGGAGCGGGACAAGATACATCCCGAGGAGCGACGTGCAGGCGTTCTTCCATCAGATCGGGATGGTGATCGAAGATCACGAGGTCGAAGACTTGGTCTTGGAGCTCGGAGACGGACTCAACGGCATCCTCTTCGAGCAGACAGTGAGTTTTCTTTCCTCGCCCTCCTCGCTCCCCTCCATCTCTTGACTCTCTCTCTGTCTTTTTTTTCAGGTGGACTATCTTGGGGGGTTCAGCTCAGAATACCTCACAGACCAGATGATAGATGCCATCTTTGTTGACATCGACAGAGAGAACAAGAATCCGCACAAGAAGTTTGACAACGAGATCACTGAAGATGAATTCTGCACCAAGCTCAGTCAGCTTAATCCATTCTTCGACGTCAACTCCCCTGCGGTCTCAGATCACTTTCTTCCTTGTCCTTTGTCCACGTGCATGACAATGTAAGCAGAATGGAGCTGAGGAGCTTCTCGACTGGCTTGACTGGGCCATCATCAACCACAAGATCAACGTCATCACCAAGCAGGAAGTGTATGAGACCGAGCAAGGTGCCTCCTCTATCCCCACCCCCCTTGCAACAGACCACCCCACCCCATGTGCGAGGTCCATGCTGACCATGAGGTAGGAGGACAAGAGACGCACACGACGCGGGTCTTGACGCCCCTGACGTTTCGCTCGCTCATTAAGTTAGGAAGTCAAGCCTGAGCTATTGACCTTATTGTTTGCGAGCACCTCCGGCTAATGCCCAACTGAGATCACCTTCAGACCCTCCAGCTCGTCCCTTGTAAGTTAATCGTTTGATGTTCAATACAGCCTGGTGCTTAATAAAGTCCTCTCCTCCTCCCCCTCCTCCCCCTCCCCCTCGGGTCACCGCGCTAGACTCGTTGTAGACCTTGAGTTTGCGAGGAGGGGATGTTTGAACCGACGAGAGTGGAGGTTTGGACGAGGACCGAGACCGAAGAATTTTGAGGGAAGGAGACGCTTCCTTGACAGCTTCTTGCGCCTACTTGACACCGTCTTCGCCTGTTCTTCTTCTCCCCTGCCATCATGTGAGTGCTGTATGCTGGGGCTGCCACAAGGGGGAGGAGGTCCCGACCGATAGAGGTCGTAGAGGATGCCTTCAGTAAGGAACCAGCCGAAGATGGAGTAGCGAGGGCGAAGTCCCTTCACAGGTTCAACCTGCGGAGCAATCAGACAAGTGACCACTGGAAACTCCTTCTCATCCTCCTCCTGTCTCTCCAACTCCTTCTCATCCTCCTCCTGTCTCTCCAACTCCTTCTCATCCTCCTCCTGTCTCTCCAACTCCTTCTCATCCTCCTCCTGTCTCTCCAACTCCTTCTCATCCTCCTCCTGTCTCTCCAACTCCTTCTCATCCTCCTCGTGTCTCTCCAACTCCTTCTCATCCTCCTCCTGTCTCTCCAACTCCTTCTCATCCTCCTCCTGTCTCTCCAACTCCTTCTCATCCTCCTCCTGTCTCTCCAACTCCTTCTCATCCTCCTCCTGTCTCTCCAACTCCTTCTCATCCTCCTCCTGTCTCTCCAACTCCTTCTCATCCTCCTCCTGTCTCTCCAACTCCTTCTCATCCTCCTCCTGTCTCTCCAACTCCTTCTCATCCTCCTCCTGTCTCTCCAACTCCTTCTCATCCTCCTCCTGTCTCTCCAACTCCTTCTCATCCTCCTCCTGTCTCTCCAACTCCTTCTCATCCTCCTCCTGTCTCTCCAACTCCTTCTCATCCTTCTCCTGTCTCTCCAACTCCTTCTCATCCTCGTCGTGTCTCTCCAGTTCGCCCTCGCCCTCGCCCTCGTCCCCCTCCTTCTTGTACTCCTCTTCGTCCTCCTCGTCCTCGTCCTCCTGGGACTCACCGCATGGTATCTCGGGATTTTGAAAGCTATGAGCGAGTTGAACTCGGGTAGATACCTGTCACAACCTTACACAGGCCGTCCTCTCTTCCTGCTTGCTTCCAGCTGCATTGTACTCCCCTCTCCTCACCTCTTCCCTGTCTCAACGTCCACTAGCGCTCCCCCGTTCTCTTCCTGATTGTTGTCCATCAAAGCACAGCGGGAGATCGTTGAGGAAGATGCAGAATCGCTAACTTCCTCTCAAGTGAGCGATGCTAGAGCGGAGCAGCAACAGATGGAGCGCGGGGGAGGAGGAAGAGCAAGTGTTCAATAGAAGAGGAACAGTGAGAGGACGGGAAGAAAAATGCGGTGCCAGGTTGACGAGGATTCCAGAGGGGCTCAGCAGGATGGGTGGGGGACCTTCCAGTCCTTGGTGAGGTAGTAGATCACGGCGATGTCTCGTGAGCAAGTGACCTTGCAGCAAGATATTCGAATGTTCATGCAGCAACCAACATGTTCCAACCTTGCGGCCATCGTCCATTACAACCTCGGTGTAAGCCCTGACAAAGATCACTTCTCCTCCTCCTCCTCCTCCTCATCATCATCATCATCATCATCATCATCATCATCATCATCATCATCATCATCATCATCATCATCATCATCATCATCATCATCATCATCATCATCATCATCATCATCATCATCATCATCATCATCATCATCATCATCATCATCATCATCATCATCATCATCATCATCATCATCATCATCATCATCATCATCATCATCATCATCATCATCATCATCATCATCATCATCATCATCATCATCATCCCTCACCGATCATCATGTGACTCGATGTGATCTGCGTGTTGGTACTTCCCCGCTGAGAACGTGTGAAGTCTCCCAGGCTGAGCGAAGCATCAGCGGCATCTCTTCTTCTCTCATCTCACCTGCAGCACGGAGATGATTCGCAGCAGCTCGGGCAGGTTTCGCCCCTGACGAGACCAGAAGATCAGGATGAGCAGACAGCTAAGGCAAGGCAAGGAAGCAGAGACAGAAGACACAAAGGACACGGAGCAAACGAGTACTTTCTTTGAAGATAGAAACTTGTGGTTGATATTGTTGTACTCCGCATCTCTCTTTGCTTCTGTCCTCTTCCAGTCTTCTTCTCGCAGTCCTTCTAAGACCTCCAACGCTCCTCGAGCAGCAAAATCCTATCAAGTTGTAGACATCAGGCAAGCTCTAGCAGCCCCCAATCACCACCACCAACAACAACAAGCACAAATCTCTTTCCCCCTTTCCTCCTCCTCCTCTTCCCCTTCTCCTCCTTACTGGAAGAAAGTTGGAAATCTTAACCAGGCCACCAGACTGATGCAGCAGCTGCGGTAGGTCATACTGCTCCATCCAAGAGAGCACTTTATCTGCTTGAACTCTTAGGATACTAGAGAAGAAGAACAAGTTGTAGGGCAAAGAAGACTATAGACATACATCTAGCAGGAGGTCACCTGGATCGTTTGCCCAGCGCAAGAACTTGAGGGACATTGCACGTGCAACGAGTAGGGGCTGGGGCTGGAGCTGGAAAGGAGCGGAGAGGACGGAGATGTGAGAGTTGACGAGCAAGGGGGCAAAGATGAAGGGAGGAGAAGACAGAGTAGAGGCAGGGGAGGAGGAGGGGAGGAGGAGGGACCGAAGACAGTCGGGACGAGGGCGAAATGCAGCCGTCGGAGCAACCTGTGGGCAGAGAAAAGAAGCAGGTTAGTTTGAGGAGTGAGATTCGCTGTCTTTTCAAATTCTTCAATTGATTACTGAGGCGGATCTGGATACTTTGTGTAATCCCAAACCATGAAGGAAAGCGCAGTGATGGAGATGCTGGCAGCGCTATCCTCGTCCCAGCTCTTCCAGCAGCAAGTCGCATCCTTGTGCTCGCTCGAGGTCTCTCCTCATCATCTTGCTCTCTTGCTCTCCTGCTCTCCTGCTCCTGCTCCTGCTCTCCTGCTCTCCTGCGCTTCTGCTGCTCCTGCTCTCCTGCTCTCTTGCGCTTCTGCTGCTCCTGCTCTGCTGCTCCTGCTCTCCTGCTCTCCTGCTCCTGCTCCTGCTCTTCTTCGCTCCTGCTCCTGCGCTCCCCTCCTTCTCACCCTCCTGCTCCTCCTCATCGTAGTCATCTTTCTCCTCCGCCTCCTTCTACCGCCCTCCACTTCCCGCCCCCCAACACTTCTCCGACTGCGTCTGTCCGCCCTCCTGCCCCTTCGTTACGCCTGTCACAGGTTGCTGATTGCATGGGGGACCACGAGGAGGCGATGCGACTCAAGGCGGCAGGAAACTCTGAGTATGCTCGAGGGAGGTTCGAAGCAGCAGCAAGCAGCTTCACTGAAGCTCTTGTCAACGTGAACGAGCTGACGGAGCAAGGCAGAACCCTTGCCTCCCTGCTCTACAGCAACCGTGCTGCCTGTCACTTGAAATTGAAACGCTGGGAGTCCGCGATCCTCGACGCGTCTGCCTCGTTGCTGTGCGACGGAGACAACTTGAAGGCGTATCATCGCCGATCACTCGCATGCCGCCACCTGGGGAGGCTGAAAGAAGCCGTACAAGACCTCGAGACCGCACAGACGCGGGTCAAGGAGGAGGAGGTGAAGGCGGAGCTGGATCGAATGCTGCGCGCATTGTTGAGCTGCGCGGGAAGTGGAGGGGAGGAGGGTGGCAGACAAGCACCCGCGTGTGCATGCGATCGAGTTAGCGAGAGGCTCACGAGGTCAAAGTCGTCAAAGGTGCAACTGACGAGAGCGACGGGGAAGGGAAGGAGTCTGATAGCAGGTGCACGAGGCGAGGGCTGGGTGGACCTGAGTGACTGGCAGAGGCGCAAGTTCGGGCAGGAGAAGTCTTGATAGAGGACTTGCCCTTCGAGATGGTCGTGAGGAAATCATTCCGCGAGAGGGTTTGTGCCTGGTTCGAAGCTCCTGGCGGGTCCATCAGGATGAAGGTGTCGTAGGTGCTTGTCGAGGCTTCACCCGTCAGCCTTCATCACTGCCCGGTATCTTTGCGGCTTCTTCCCTACCATCCACTGACTGCAGCAGAGGCTTTCCTCGACCCAGGTTCTGTTCACTTAAATGCCGTGACCTCGACGAAGAGAAGCACGGCTATGAGTACGGCAGGTCCATACCCTCCTCCCATCCCATCCTATCCCATCCCATCCCATCCCATCCCATCCCATCCCATCCCATCTCATCCCATCTCATCCCATCTCATCCCATCCCATCTCATCCCATCTCATCCCATCCCATCCCATCCCATCCCATCCCATCCCATCTCATCTCATCCCATCCCATCCCATCTCATCCCATCTCCTCCCCTCTTCTCCTCACATGTCTCTCCCCTCGATTTCCTAGCATCTTCTTGCTGTTCCCATGATCTCCTCAACTTTACCGCTGGTTCGCAGGCCATGGGCGCTTGTCCTGCCGGAGGAGCTTGTGCTGGCGGGTCAGTGTTTCCATCTGCCCTGAGCGGAGGCTCACGTGCTTCCTTCAGTCCGATGTTGCCACAAGGAAGGAGCAGCCTCCTGCGACTCTGACGACGTGGTTGATGTTGTAAGGAGCCTCGAGGACAGGATGGAGGAGCTTGTCGCTCCCTCGCCCAATGGCTGCAGCTCCCTGCTGAGCGACATGGCCAGAGGTAGCGCAACAGCAGCTGCCTGTTGGGTTCGATCTCTACCTTCAGAGTTGAGAAGGGGGAGAGGAGTGAGCGAGCCTCTCGCTTCCTCCCACGTGCTCAGGTTTCTCTGCAAGGTGAGCCCTAGAGCTTCGCCTTGCCGTTGACTGTCAACCGTCAGGTCCGACTCAACGGGTTTGCTATCCACCATCGTCACAGCCGAGCGCCTGGCGAGGAGGCGGACGGCTGGCGGGTGGCGTTGGGTTTGTTTCCGGTGAGAGCTTGACGCGGTGATGGGATGCTGAAGCTGCGGAGGTGGCGAGCATGATGAATCACAGCTGCGACGCCAACGTCAGCGTCTCCTTCCACGGGACGAGGATGATCGTCCGCGCAGTCCGCGACATCCCGTGTGGAGGAGAGATCGGTGAGACGGGAGAGGTACGAGAGCTGTGTGACGTCTCCTAGAGCACTGCTACGGCCCTCAACGAGGAGAAGAAAGCTTGGCGGAGCGACGCCGGCAGCTCTTGTCTCAGTATCTCTTCCATTGTGAATGTCAAACGTAGGGGGAGGTGGGCGAGGGCTGATGCTGCTCACCTTGACCTTTCGCAGCTGTAGGGAGGCAGAGGCTGGGGTCAGCGAAGAAGAATTCTTGTACCACCCGCTCCGTTGCTGCGTGAGTGACTGCCAAGGAGTGGCCAGCATGAAACATCCGAAGCATCCAGGTAGGGGAGCAGGCGATGGGCCAAGCAGCTACCTGACATTTGCCATGCTCGTCTGGTTATGATTGCCGATGCGATCAACATCGCATCTTCCTGCTCCTTCTATCAAGGCGTCTGCTTCAGCTGCGGGGCGAGCGTTCCACTGAAGACTCAAGCGCTAGCAGAGGAGGTAGAGGAACAAGGAAGAATCTTACTGAACCAGGCAAACGGGATGAGTCGGTCAGTGAGAAGCTTTTTTTGTCGAGCTGAGCGTCGGGCAGCGAGGAGCTGCGAAAGAGGCTGGCGAGTTGGTTGTCAGAGGCCTCCAAGGTGTTGAGCTTGAGCCATCCAGCCATCGCCGAGGCTAAAGATCTCTTGAGCCACATGCTGTTGTGCCTCCCCCCGCCTTTCCCTCAGCTGACTTGTCGACCAGGCTTGACGAAGGTGACGTCACGGCTGCTCTTTACGAGGCCAAGGACTCCTTGGTTCTGCTTTCTTGTCTTTCGTTTCCTCATCCCTCCTTGGCAGGCTTCCATCGCGCGGCGTTTCGCTGCTGAGAGCCCGCAGATGGGCCATGCCCTGCTGTGGCTAACAATCCTGCATGCGATCCACGGGGACCATGAGGAGAGCGTGAAGCATGCGAGTGAGTGAGATCGAGCTTGTCGAAGTTGTCGAGCTCGTGCAAGCAGCATGTGAAGGTCATGGAGCTGATGTTGGTAGCAGAGGCTGCGAGAGAAATCTTGAGGCTCCTTTATGAGAGTCACCATGCCGTCCTGGTCTGCTTGACAAGCGTCGAGAGTGCGCAAGGACAAGAACTCCCCGGGCTTGGACGACGCTTGCACCGAGTGTTCGCCGAGGAGATGAGCACATGACAAGCTCGTGCTGGCGTCTGAGATGAAGAAGCTGCAGATGGGGGCTGCTCTCGATTGTTCTACTTTCTTCTGCTTGAGGCATTTTCTGACTTATGCGAGTAAAATTCTTACCTTCTCGAGCCATGGCAGTTCGGCTTATTTTGCTTGAGGCACTTTTTTACCTTCTGCCAGTAAAAGCAGGGGCACCGTTGAGGGTCATATCTCAGCTGCTGCGCCAGGGGACTGGAACGGTACCGCCATTATGCGCCCTGTGTTCGTACCGCTCTTGTCGTTGCGTGTAGGTCTTGGTTGCCCCTACCTATCCCGCTGACCGGATGTGCATGAGGGACTTGCTTGTTGCTGCTTTCTTCTGCTTGAGGCACTGTTTAGGCACTTTTTACCTTATGCGAGTAAAACTCAAGACGTTTACGTTATGCGAGTAAAACTCCTTAAATCTTCCCTCCTCCTTATCCTCATGCAGAAGTGTGTGCATGAGGGTCTTGCTCGGCGCATGACTCCCTTGCGAGCGCAGGCGCTCCTCGAGCCAGACTCCCGGACAGCTCCTCCTCGGACTTTTCTCGAGTCGCCCGAGGAGTCTTCGCCGGAGGTCTCGGACTCCGACGGTGGAAGCATCAGCGTATGAGTCAGTGTGAGTTTTACTTGCAGGCTTAGCTTGTTCCTGCTTTGTTTTGCTTGAGGCACTTTTTACCTTCTGCGAGTAAAACTTCACTCGCTGAAGGTAAAAATAGGAGAGTTTTACTCGCATCAGTATGGTAGAAAGTGCCTCAAGCAGAAGAAATTTGTTGCTGTATTATGAGGCAGTGTTTTACTCGCAGAAGGTAAAAAGTGCCTCAAGCAGAAGAAAGCACGAGACAGCCCACAGCAACAGCAACAAACGCGGCTCAAACACACGAAAGACTCGAAGACAAGACCGAAAGTAACCAGCACTGCTGGCAACCAAACCCTACACTGCCAGCCCACGCGGGAAGCCACGTAGACAGCGTGAAGTTTTACTCGCAGAAAATTAAAAGTGCCTTAAGCAGAACAAAGCAGGAACAAGCTAAACCTGCATGCACACAGCGCCACAGCGAGAAGCTGCACAAACACACACCAGAAAACAAGACCAAAAGTAACCAGCACTGCGGGCAACTGTCAGCAGACCCGGCACTGCTTGAGGCACTTTTTACCTTCTGCGAGTAAAACTTCATTCATGCTCATTTTCCTGAGCGTGACCTGAGCCACTCTCCGATGCGAGTCTCGAGCTACTACCCCCTCAAGGCCTTCCCGCACCGCTATGCTCAGATGCTCGACTGCTATCTCCATGGCATGCCGATCTGCCAGTGTCCGACGGAATGTGATGGATGTCAGCGCGAGCTCGATCCCTCCGTTGCTGCACATCATCTCCAGACCTGCAAACGCCGATCCTCCAAGCTTCCCACGGCGCATGACAACCGTTGAACCATCGAGTGGATTCCTTACTCGTACGATTCGGTCGATGCTGAACGAAGCTGGTCTTCAGAGCGTCATCCATACAGTCGGGGATCCTCGTTCTCGACGGCAGGTACCCTCCTATCCTCATGGCCGCAAGATGAAGGGCGATATCCACATCCCTGGAATCCGCGATCGAGGGTCCGAGCAGTACGAGGGCTTGATGGCGGACGTGACGTTGGTCCACCCTTACATTGGTAGCTCTGCCGACCTGACCAAGTGGGGGGAGGTCAACCTCGACGCCCTCCATGTTGCAGCGTCTGAGAAGATTCGCAAACATCGCGCTGCATATGCCAGTAAATCCGACAT